TTAGTTTGTTATTTCTAATTGGTTACTCTGTTATTCAACTTGGTATCATAGCAGGTTTGATCTTTCGGAGTTTGATCTACTCAGTTTGTATGTCGTTCTTCGCCTCTCCCGCTTCTTTGTTGTTTGTTTGCCTAGTTTGGATCAGTATGTTTAGTTGTCATTGATATTGAAAAAAAAAGGTGTGTGTGTGAAGCCAACGAATTGACTGTGTGTGAAGCTTGCTGTCGTGAAGAACGAAGCTAGATTCGCCTCTACCGTTTCTTCGTTGTTTGTTTGCAGGTGGTCGTAAGTGGTTACTTCTTTTCTATTTCTTAAGATAAAAAACTTAATGCAAATGATATTGGGATAGGGACTCGAGTTTTGTACTTTTTAGATTTTCTACATTACTACACAAATTGTCCATCGAACTGCAAAAGTTTTTTATTTTTGGTGGTGAATAATTCCACAAGGTGTTAAACCTTACTTGCACACAACAATTTCACTGGTGGGGTTTGATTTTTGAACGAATACAACATTTTGCAACCCCAAATGATCATTTGTATTCATTTTATTAATTAATCTAACCCTAATATATTGTAGAGAAATGCTAAGGAGACTCTCTCAAAGTGGGACTTTTTATGGACTCTCTTTTATCTCATAGTTTAACGTCAATTATCGTTCTAACATTATAAAACATTGGGCTAAAAATATAAAGTGACAAAGAATTCATGAAGAGTCGCACTTTTGAAAGAGTCTCCATAACATTTCTTTATATTGTATTGACAAGAAAAACTCATTCAAAAGCGTTGTTTTGCAACTTTTTATACATCTTCGCAAAGTTTTACATAATAAATTGGAGGAATGTTTTTCTGTTTGGTGACCTTGAGATTGTACAAGATAATGTTTATGTACTAAAATACTATACAAATCATAGCATATATTTACCTACATTTAAATATAATCATAGGTATAGATAACTTTGCTTTCTTGGCGTGCTCCACTTGTATTATATTGGCTATTTAGTTATTTCATTTGTTTTACCCCTTTAACGACTAACAAATGGATTTGTGGCGTTAAACAGAAGCATCAAACTAGAACCAACCTAAACCATTTTCATCCAACGACTTGAAAACAAACCAGAAAGTTAAGAGGGAAAAAAAGAGCCTTTCCCACTCTAATTGGAGGGACATGTTTAGCTTTAATTGTGCTTTTGGTAGGTTCTCTTTCTCTCCTTTCTATAAAAAGGTACAAAACAATCAAAATTCCTTCGACTCTTGTCAGTTGTCATTATGTCATGCCCCCCATATTTATCGACTGGTAAGAATAAACCCTATATTGATTTGATAGGGAATTTTGTATGTGTTTATAAGTAGTTGGATTACTTCTTATATTATCAATTAGTTTTATGGTAGGGAATTTTGTATGTGCTTATAAGTAGTTGGATTACTTCTTATATTATCAATTAGTTTTATGGTAGAATCTCAACATTTTTCATCCTCATCCTCTACATTATTTTTTAAAATTTTTTTGGAATGTCATATGAATTTACACTTCGTTTTTCTTCTTAATTTGTCATTTCAACTAAAATTTTAAGTGAATTGTTATCTCAATTTTTTCTCAATTCCCATTTTCATCTTACAATAACTTTACAAACTTTTCATCCAAGCAACATATGTTTCTTGTACTTCACTTGTATTTAGGAAAAGGGTTTCTAATTCCCACTCTCATTTGTGCTAGTTATCTTCTCAAAAAGGATTTCTCATTAAAGCAAAAAGCAGGAAAAGGGTGATTAACAGTTTTTTTGCTAAATAAGATTGAAATTATGTTTATGTAAGCCTATAATGGATCAATAGTTGCACTCGTATCAAAATGTAATATGTACGTGAGGAAGACTGACTCCTTACCCATAAACAGTTAGATAATTTTCCAAAAGAATAATAACAAGATCCCACGAAAGCCTTACCCAGAGAGGCAACATCATCTCCAAAGCTAGCGACATCAACTCTTGGAGACAAGCCGACAAAGCTTCACCCCCTCCATATATTCCTCCAAAAAGATTTCCAAAAGCTACCTTACACACCATTTGGACTCTTTTCCCCACCATTTTCTCCCTATCGAAGCTTACTGCGGCCTATACTCCCATTCACCAACCCCAACTTAAGAGAATATTTAGCTACCAAGCTTTGCCTTGTTGGACTTTGCATCAAAGATGCAGATACTTCTTCTTTGTTCACATCATTAGAATCTGATGGATGGCAGCCTAATTTTAATAAAATAAATAAATAAACATTTTCCTAATTACTCATCATGCACTATATATATAGGTATACAACCCCCACAAGGTCACCTCAAAAGGCAATTGAAATATAATTACAGCCCCTCTTTATGGCTAGGCAAGGCAAAGATGGCACAGCAGTTCATTCTTCCATTGCCTTATTGCAAGAGAGGTTTCGACAATTGCAGAGAGCAAAGGAGATTAGGCAGGAGAGAGAGCTCTTGAGGCAGATACTTTCTGAATCAGACAGGATTTGTACTCCGGCCGCATATTACGAGCCAACTGGGTTGTTTCTCCAATCTGGATTGACAGTTTCTCACAAATGTAAGCCACCTCCTCACCAACCCCTGTACTCAATGTATCTCCAACCTAACTTGCAGAGCAAGCAATCTAGTTATCTGCAGGTTTCTGATGAGACTCGGGACATGGGGAACGTAGGTTCAAGTTCAGTTCCAGTCATGTGCAGAACAGACAATTTTGATGATTCAGATGTCGACACTTCTCTTCGCCTGTGAAGCTACTTCTACGTACTGATGGTTCATCGCTTTGTAATGTTATTGTTAAATATATATATAGTTCTAGTTAGATCTACTAGTTATATTGAGGAAGCATTAACAATGTAATTATAATATGTACCAGGATGATCAGAAGCAGTATCTTATGTTCCTTTCCGAGTCCAGTGTGTGATCTGGTCAGTGTACAAATGAATCCCAACCATATTCTGTATCGTTTAATCACGTCTACATATCATTTGGTGACGGAAAAATGAAGCGTCTTAGATGAAAAGAGGGGAAATATCTGTAACATGGACAATATATCATAAAAAGTTTGGTTCTGTGTAGGCGTTCAAGATAGGGAGCGTTGAGAAAACCTCACTACTACTCAACTTTGTTGAGGTTTTTTTAACGGATGAACAGCATAGAGAATCTCTAAAACACAACCGGCCGGCTTCTCCTTTTCTTATTCTAGTACTTCATAATTTATATTTTGCAATTGATGTATCCCGATACAATTTATAAAATTTATAAAAAAAATAAAAAAACCACATAGGCCCCTCTTAGACGTCTAAGCGCTATACCCTTTCCCACCGCACTATTGTTATCTAGCGCTTTTTAGAACCTTGGAAAATCTGAATTCAATATCTTCACCTGTGGTTCAATTCGGTGGTTTTGTTTTTGGGTTGGATTGAAAGAAATGATAATGGGAGACTGAGAGAAGGGTGGCTTCGGTTGAGAGAGAGAGAGAGAGAGAGAGAGAGAGGCATCCGTGCTTTGGTTAGGGTTTCGTTTGAGATTATGAATAGGGAATATTTTGGTTTTTTTTTATTTGATTTATAAAAGTTTTTAGTGTTAAATAAGCAAATAAAAGGATAAATTTGTCTTTATGGGCGTGTTGTGAAAGTGAATTAAACCAAGTGTTGCTACTCCCACCAGGATGTTTTATTTCTCCACCACTCCAAATTAAATATTTTGTTTACACATTTATCCTCTTGTGAAATGACTTTGAAGGACCTAAACAAAAAAGGATTTTGACAAAGTAAAACCTAAAAAAAATCAATTTGAATATATATATATATATATATATATATATATACATACATATATATATAAACTAAAAAAAATAAAAAAATGTTTAGAAGAAAAAAAAAGGAGGAAGAATACTATTTGAACCATGCCCAGATCGTCCCCTACATCCCCTTCCATTCTTTTTCCTCTTCTTCTTCCATATCCATCAGGACAACCACTGCTTTAGTATTGGTGCTCCCAGCCGTCCTCCACTTCTTTCATGCGAAGATAAAACTCATCGCTAAAACACTCACTACGAACCCACAAACCCGTTATTTGCAGGCCGGCCTTCTGCAGATCCGGAAAGAGGCGACCCGCGCCACTCCTCCATATGCGCAACCCGATTGGAATGTGTCGCCTGTTCCATATGCCATGCACGCGACATCTTCTCTCGTCCAAATCCAACCCATGACAACCTTAAACAAACAAAAATATAATAATTGTTAACTTATCTTTTATTTATTGTTAGGAATTTAAAATAGAGAATTGTTATTGGCACTCCAAAAATCTCATTCTACACTCCAAACTTTCTATATTTGGAAAGAAAAATACATTTGTGAGGAGTGTAGAATGAGATTTTTAGAGTGCTAATAACACTTCCCTTAAAATATTAAAGTTATTTTAGGATTAAAGGTGGGTGTAGAGATAGTATTGTTTTTAATTTTAATAGTGGGTGACAAAATAAGTGGGGCGAGAATATAAGAAAAGGGGGTGGGCTTAGTAGCACTCATTAAACCTCAAGGTGCTCCTCTAATATTTCAAACATGAAAATTTTTTGTAAAAGCTTGATAAACCTTTTATAGTTAAAGCGATTTTGCTTTCACAAAGTCAGTATGAACAAGTATTATTCACTTTCTAATTTCCATGCACCTTCACTTCCGTTAGTTTCTTGTTAATTCTTATGTTCGATTCTCCCTCCAAGGCTGTGAAGAACCTAAGCGAAGAAGATGTTCCTTACTTGGGCGCAGTCAGTTAATTCAGAACTAGGCCAGCACATCAAATCTTTCGATGTGGGCCGAATCACAGTCCATAGATAGCACACAACTTGTGAGTTGGATTATAACCCAGTGACCAGTGATGGCACGGAAAACCATCGACATATAGAAAGAGAGAAATCGAATCTTACATAATCTGCACTATATTTATCAAGGAAAAATATAACCTCTCTGTCAACCTATGAATTCAAAATGATAAATCCTGCCCATTTCAAGTTCAATAAGTTTAATAGCAAACTACAAACAGCAAACCGAAGCCCTTTTTTGGGCCGAAATGAAGGAAAGAAAAGATTATTGACCATACCTACAGACTACAGAGCAACAACATGAGAAGATACATGCTCAAAGAACTGGACGAATTCTCAGTCTGGATATGGTTTAACTACAAGATGGCTGAAAAAACAAGAAGTCCTGCAAACCCCGACTTGGATGACAGCTTAATTATTTCAGAACATGACATGAATATAAAAAACCTATGTTTTTTTTTCAAAAGAGTACTCTCCATCTTCATTGGCAAGTTACAGGTCTTCATCAATTTGGTGGGAGGAACTGAAGCGACTGCACCATTTCATCAATTGTGATGCAACAAAGCTCGGAAATTTTGACAGTAGAGGGAGCTCAATGCAAATAACAAAATTGGAAGAACAATCCAGTGACAGTACAAATCAGCTAGTTTGGTTTTGTTTTCTAAATTGATTGTTCCATCAACCTAGGTTATCTCCCTCAACGATGGCTCTATGTACATCACACACTTTTCTCGATATCAAATACCAGATATACATCAGGACAGGTTACTGTGAAAATTTCAAATCTTGGTACTCAAATCTTTGAATCTTTTTACGGTATTCCTTCCTGATTCTTCTTGTTATTTTGTTCTCAATTTTTACCTCTTGTATGATTCCGTCAAAAATGGAATCGCGCGAAATGCAACTAATGTCTACTGACATTATCAACAGTGTCTTCATGTTCATCAGATATGGTGTTCTGTGGTCTCTTCTGAAATGAATCTTCATCGTAGTCTGTACCATCCGAGTCCCGATCACCATTCCACTTTCTTTTCATGATTTTGGGAACCAAGCGGGTCACCTCTTTGGTCTCCAATGTAGCAGGATCATTCTCTATCCTTTCAAATCGAACAGCACCGACCTTTCTGGCATTTCCTGCTAGTATCTGGCCCAAAAAGAAAAACAATACTAACAAAGATATTACTCGGTCCAATTGCCAAAACTCATTTAATACTAGTTAATCCAAGGCAAACCCAATCTACCCCCACCGCCACCATATATATGATTGACCAAATCATCCAAAAAATAATACGTGCAAGCATTAATATTGAGACCTAATTAAGCTAAAATTAAGGAATTTTCAAAGAACTATATGCAGCAAAATATTAAACATCATACCTCAAGTTTAAAAATTTGGTGCTTTTCTTTTTTATCCTGGTTTTCAGACTTGCTCTCGTCAATCTCCTCTTCATTTTCATTTTCAAGAACAACTTTGATGCTCTCACCCGTCCTTGGGATATATCCAAATGCCTCGCATATAAAACCTGATACTGTCTCATATTGATGACCCTGTAAACAGGTGAAAGTTAGATCAATGTACAAGAGAAATTGGAAAATATGTCTAATATCCAATGCACATCGCTGATACTTTTTAAAATTGTCTACATTGAAAAGGAAAACAGAACCATTTGGAAAATAATTATTTTAGCATGACTTTGTTCTTTGATAATCGATAATGAGTGGAAACTAATGAGCTTTTGTAAGGTATTAGAGTTCAGCTCTCAAATCACACTCATACGTATTAGGTGAGCACAAGAATGATTCAGGAATTTTTATTTGTAGAGTGTTTTGAGTGTTAAGATGCCTGTAATTAAAGGGAGGACTGCATACCCATAACATGCACTCAAATTCAAAACAAGGAAAGACCATCTCTGTAAATTAACTGTGCATGAGAAGTGCTACTTCCAATGTGGACAGCTGTTCATCAGACGATTTTAAATGAAACTACAATATGAAACAGAGCCAGTTTCTTGGTAATAGTCGTTTCTCATGCATGAGTTCAACGGTATCCGTTGTGCTATCCATGTGCCGGTGCAAATTTTGCTTCCTAGACGTAAAGTATGGAAGGCTAGGCATTAGTTCACAACGAGCCCTTGGTTTTGTGGAACCAGAGAGCCTTTGATGGCTCAAACATTCAGTCTAGTACAGGATTGGTTGACTGAGTAGGAGCCTAACTCCTTAATTTCCGTTTCTTATTTTATTTTATTTCACTAAATTCTTAATTCCCCTTGCGTGTATGTGGGTTGGACACTAGGGTTGTGGCCCTTGAGACCTAGGTGCTTTCAAATATATTTTTACGCGTCAGAAAAATAGAACTACATCATATGGTCTTAGTTGTATTACATTGCAATAATGAACAAGCAATTATGCAGAAAAGACAAGAATGACCTAATGCTCAAAGACAAAAGATCGGGGAGGATGGGTAAGGTATGATCACTTAATATATAAATTTCAAGAGCAACATTTAGAATTCAAAACTTTCAAAGATACCTCTGGCATCTTGACGTTTAGATCTTCAGAGAGCTGGTCAATAGATGTGTTTGCATCTACATCGAATATCCCCTCTGCACGCATCACAACGTAGCCAGTTTTTTTCTGAATCTCCTCCTGTTTCAGCATCAATAATTTCAGTCAGACGTTATCATCAATAATTATTTTATTTTATTTCTTGAGAAAGACGTTATCATCATATTGAGAAGCATAGTTTTGTGTGTTCATGGTTAAACAAAAGTTGTGCCCATTCCCTGTATGTGTAAAGCTACATATCTCAAGCATAGAAATTTTTGGGACAAGGAAATTTTCTTTCCGTTGCTTGACTTTATCTGATTTTGTAGCTTTTTAATGTGATAGATTTCGACTGATACTACTTGTGCAAATGGGTGTGCCCCCATAGTGCTTTTGCTACATTACATATCACAAAAAAATTGGTCAAGGAGCACAAACAGTGGTAGTGAGAATTACTTTTGAATCATTTTCATCAAATATTTCACCAACAATTTCCTCAACCACATCTTCCAGGGTTACTATCTGTTTCATCACAAAACAAGTTAGAGAGATGCTGCGCAACTTGGTGAATTTTTAACAGAAACATTGAACATTAAATTCAATGATGAATGAAGAACACACCCCAACAGTTCCACCATATTCGTTAAGAACCACGGCCATGTGAACCTTTCGAATGCGGAACTCCCTAAGAAGATTCCAAACAGACATTGAATCTGCAATAAGGGCCATTAAAATTAAGGATCATACTCCATAGTGAGTCCAAAAGTAAGAGACATTTCAAACCAGATGGCAAACACGTTCCAGACAACTTTGACCATGAACAGCCTACAATTTCTTAAAAGAGCTATCCCAACTTGATACTATGCACGATAACAAAATTAGATTTTTAAAAGTAATGTTGTTAAAGCTTTACAAGTGAATTGACCTAGTATCATGTAGTGACATTAGTTCAGAGTCCTGAACCCATAGATTTCCTTCAATGATTCCTACTTGAGATAGAGAACATGAAACTCAATGTACGAGGCACCCAATCGGTCGGGTGGGCACCAAGCGATTTAAACCTTATATAACATCCCCAAAGACTTCTCTAGAATGAGGCCTATGTACCAAAACAGGCAAAGGTTACAGGCATTGCCAAAAAAACTAAGCAACCACCACCCCAGGATTTGAATTACCTTGCTGCCAATTTATTTCCAGAAACGGTTTTAATTACAAGTTTAAAAATAAAAAAATAAAAAAAAAGGAATTTCAACTGTAATAAATACAAAAGAAAACTAAGAGACTGCAATGTACAATGAATATTTAATCTAGAACAGATGAGATTAATAGAACTTGGCATAATACAAATGATTACCAGGCACAAAGTAAGCAGGTTTTTGAGCCATATCCCCCACAGTAGTACTTTCTAGTAGCTCACCCTTCAAAATCAAACAAATTTACAGTTCTGCACTATGAGATCGCTTATTCAATAGATCGCTTATTCAATTAATAAATAAAGAATAAGGATTTCATAGAGGGACAAAAACGAGTACAAACTGTCTCACCTTCTGAACATAATCCAGTAGATCCATTGCATATGCTATTCCTACTATATTGTCAACACGCTGCTCAAATACAGGTACCCTAGAAGAATGTTCAAGATATTATCACCAGAAGGCATGAAAAAACTATTCAGTGTACCACTAAAATTTTGGATTACCTTGAATATTGATGAGTTACCCACAGGTCGTGAAAATCAACTAGCGTTGCACTGGCATCGATGGCAACTACGTCTACGAGAGGCGTCATCACCTCCCTAACATGAGTATCTTTGATCTCCAACACATTTTCGATCATATCCTGGAAAAGGAGTTATTTTCCCATAAAAAAGTGCATCTCAGATAAAGACCGTATATCAGAAAGCTTGACAACTAATAAACTTAAATCCCTAACACATCCCACAATCTCTCCTCTCCAGATACAAAAGGTCCTCAACGTGTCAGTGAGTATAACATCACTATTTATTATAACTATTCAAAAACAAAGTATTTGTTTTTCATCTTGCAACAAGTAATCAAAACCAAAAGATATTTCAAACAAAAGTAAAAAATAAAAAGCCCCGTTCCAATACCTGTTCTTCCTCCTCTATTGCCCCACTCAACTCTGCCCCCCGCAGCATCAGTTTTAACTCCTCTTCAGTAACATACGGTTCGCTGATAAAAAGAAAAATCGTGTAAATTAAGGGCATAATTTCCTAAGTAAACAACATTAAAAGATACGACTTGAATATTCCACAGATGTAATTCTTTATTATCCATAAAGTGAAGGTATATGCATAAAAAATAACAAAATGAAGGTACACCAGAAAATATAGTCACGTTAAATAAAAGAAGATATCCTCAATAATATTCTAGAATGGTAGATGTTCCGCTTGCTGTCAACAAACAAATGAGGTAAGAATCCTAATACATTGTTAAACTTTGAGCGTCTAACCCACAACTAATTGGCTACATGGAGACCCTGGATCATATAATTTGTTATAATGCAAGGCTCATAATTTTCGATATGGGATACTATGTTATCAACATACCCCCTTCACATGTAGTAAGACTGACCCAAACACGTGGATTAATTATGTTGGGTGATATGGAGCATTTGTAGTCATTGGGGTTGGCATGTGAATATTGAAGAAGTTATGATAAAGTCCATTGGTTTAAAATGCTCCCATAAACATAAGCCGTTAGGAGCTGTTGAATACTGAATATGCTTCCTTTTTTCTTTTCTTTTTATTACTTGAGAAGCTTAACTTAAGCCATATGGCACATCAGCTGAACACGTACAGCTCTTGGGTAGAGATTTCCAATGGACGCCTAACAGAACAAAGTGTACGCCACATTCTAATAGGGAGAAAGAAAATTGCTAACTAGAAGTGGCCTCGAGTTTGTCTCTAGCCACCTAACCAATGTGTTTAAAATCTCAATTATACATCGTATTATGATATGATGTCTCAGAGATAACATGAACAGAAATAGAGAAATTATATTATTGAATGGTCATAATAAATTTATACCATCAAATTTATGAAATATAGTATTTATGTGACTAGTCTTCCTATGCCACTCTCCTTAACTTTATAGAAATGTCTACAGCTTGTCTTTTAACTGAGAAGACTAGTCAGGACACTTAGGAGAGGCGAAAAATGAGAGTAAAGGAGTTAGTAAAGGAAGAGGCTTTTCAGTTGATGTTGGAGAGAGATAAAACGTGCACAATTTACAGGCAGATAACTGATGTCCCCACTAACTATTTATAAATACAATCAGCAACAAATGTTTTGATTAACACTTAAAGATACTTCCAACCTACCCATAATCTGACTTTGTCATCTTTCCTACTCCTTTGGCAAACAATTTCTTTAAATTACTGTATGTACTATTATGTCTATAAGCCACGACAAAATGAAAATCAGGGAGAATTCAAACTTGGGTTATCCAAAAAGCAAACCTTCTTCCTTTTAACCCAAGTATTTTTAGCATCCCCATCGATAGATATGTAACAATTCTCCCCACTGGATATAGTACCAATGAAAGCCACGCCACTGGCCTAACCTAGGGGCATCACACCCAACATTCAAAAGAAGTAGGAGTAACATCAGTTAAGGCAAAACCAGCAAGCAACTCAAAGTTTAAAACAAAAGACAAAGATGTATAACTAGTGGTCATCGGCGGTTTTAGTTGAAGTTAGAGAGATTTCTAACATACCACAAACCTTGCAACCTCTGTGGGGTTGTGAACAGCAACACTTTTCGGAGTTATTTCGGTGAGAAGCAAAATAGCAACCTTGCATCATCAAGAAAAACAAACAGTATTTATTATCAAATCCACTAGTACATTGTTTCCTTATATTATTTGTGTATTTGCAGCCTCTAGCCTTTTATAAGAAGTTAGGAAACAAGAAAACACAACACTTCTTTTAAACTATACTTCTAAAAAAGCTTTTTTCAGCAAAAATCAGCGTCTGTGTAGAAGACATATCATTCTCTTTAATAAAATAATTAGAGACTCTCTCTCTCTCTCTCTCTCTCTCTCTCTCTCTCTCTCTCTCAACACAACACTTCTTTTAACTTTACTTCTAAAAAGGCTTTTTTCAGCAAAAGTCAGCGTCTATGTAGTAGACATATCATTCTCTTTAATAAAACAATATAATTAGACTCTCTCTCTCTCTCTCATGTCTATGTTTATAAATTGATCAAGCAAAGAAAATGAGACATACAGTCATTATGCCCGTTGCTGCAGTGACACCAGCTTCACCAAATATTGCTGTTGCAGCATCTGTAACTAAAGCAGTTGCTCCAATATTGACAACACTGAGCAAATAAGTAAATTCTACAATAAGAAAGAAATGTTCAACTTCACGATAAAAATAAATAAATAAAAATTGATGCCAGCAAGAAACGAGAAGGAAAGTACGTTGTGCCAATAAGTATGGTTGTCAAGAACCGCGTAACATCGTTGCGAAGCAATTTGAAGACGCCATTTTCAGACTCTTTCTCAGCCAACTCACGAATCTGACACATTATTAATATCAGTTAACTAATGTTATTTTAAGATCCTAGTGTGTCAGATCATTCACCTTCATTCATTATTCTAATAGGAAGATCATTTGCTGGAACACAGGTACAAGTATTTCAAACTCACAAATATATCAGCACAAAAGGACCAAAAAAGAACACCACCATAATATATTGAGCTTCTTAATGCCATTGAAAAGAATTGTCTTGTTAAGAATGAAGCTAACCACAGATAATGCTAACTCTCATATATGAAATCAAGTTATTATTGACTAATTGCAACGTTTAGGCAAAGATCCTTTGCAGTATTAGTTCAAAGGTACAAAATGCACTCTAGGGAGGACAGAGCTTAACTCTATTACGTCATATGACCAGGATATCAAACCAGAAATGGAAACTAGCGAAAACATACAACTGAACGATAAACTTTAGTCATAGACTAACAATACACTCTTCTACGATGTTCATTCGTATTACCTACCAGGATACAAAGTAACATTACAAAATGAAGTCAAAAGGGTACAGTGTCCAGTTGGGTACAAGTTCAGCATCCAAACAAATAAACAATCCTTGACAATACCGATGATATAAGCATTCACGTAACATAACAAGTTCATACCTTCCAGGGCCAGAGGGTCGTAATTGAAGTCTCCGCCATTGAGAAAAACGCCGAGAGACCCAAAAGCGCCGCCAAAATCAAACCCTGCTCTTTGAACACCTGCAGTACCTGCAAAGTCTTGGGCCAGGCATTCCTGAGCAACAATATGCTCTGCCCAATAACCCCATAACCTGCATTGACCACACCCTCCACAGCAAAAGCTCTCCTACAGCCATAAATCAAAACCCCACCAACCACAGCTGCCAAAACTACACCACACTTCACCAATTCCTTAACAAAATCAAATTTCGAACCCGAAACAGAATTCGTACCACCCACACTCTCCCTATCTTCACCTAAAGCTTTCAACGGAGCTCTATTAACAAGTAAGTCAACTCCTTCAAACCTTGGAGCTAAGAACCTCTTCACACCACTACTACCGATACAATTCGGCCCGAATCGAAACGGGTACCGATTATTTTGCAGCAAAACCTTTACCGGAAACTTTGTTTTCCGATTGCAACACAAGAGACTCCATGATTTCGACCCGGAAACGAACATATTCGGAGCCAGGACACAAGACTCGAGCGCCATTTCGATAAATTACAATAAAAGAACAGAATATGAACAAAACCCAGAACGAAAAATGAAGTAATTGAGAATAAAACAGCAAATAATCGAATAAATTTATTGTCAAAGTTCTGAAATTGGGGAAATTTTGAAACTTATTGTATAGGGGTTTTTCTAATTTTCATGTGTTTGGGATATGGGATACTGGATGGGACAAAATTGGGGGTGTTCGAGTGGGGGATACGGAGAGGATATTACTTACTAGTCGGATTGTTCAGCAACATGTTTGGGTAAATGCGAAGTGGTTACTTACTGGAGAGCTGAAGAAATTGGAATCGAAGGGTGGTTTAGATTGACCATTACTAGGACAGGGCATTTGTCCCCTTTGGATTCGCATTGCTTACTAAGCTATGCAATTTGGATATTGTGCGACAGACATCCAGCCGTTAGATTGTTTGCTATCATCTTTTCCTTCTGCTGTTTTCTTTACCAATGTTCCTGTTCTTTTCCTTTCTAATTTTCTTTTTCTTTTTTTTAAAACGAGTATTTATCATTAATAATCAATATTTAATATTTTAATTCATCAATGTCATTTTTATATTAAAAAAAAAATTTAATATAAAAGAAAGCTCACGCGAATAAACTTAAATATCCTCAAAATTCAAAACTCATATACATAGAAAATGGGAGGTCAATGGAATTCTGATGGGAGTTGTGAGTAAGCCACTCAACCGCTCCAAACTTTGAGTTGTTCTTACTCTGAGAAGAATAGAATTGCACCTCCTATCCCGTCCGTTGTCCTTATGGCTCCATCCACATTTAGTTTCACCCACCCTTCATTAGGAGGCAACCACCGTGATTGTGGAGTATTACTCACTCCACTTGTTCTTCATTAGAAAGCATGCATCCAACTAAAAGTGTGGTGAAATAAAACCCTAGGATATGCTCTAAAACCTTCCCATACCAAAGGTTGAGTCTATTTAACTGGGTTTTTTGTTATTTTTTAAAGATGTTATAAAAATTAAAAAGTGACATTTAAAAAATTAGGTGTTAAATTTTGGTCATTATTGATGAAAACTCTTATGGAAATTATCGAATCCGAAAATGATACGTATAAAAAATGGAAGCAATTACGGTATGAAAATTAGTGAATTACTTAACCAAATGCAATAACGGCCACGATAATTACTAAGTTTGTAAAATCATAATCTTTTTTTTATTAAAGAGGACAAATATTAAATATAGTGACCACTTCATGTTAATACACTAAACAAATAAATGTGGAATCTAATTTAGAATATGTCAAATATTGAGTAAAATGTTCTTGATTTTCCAAAGAATTATACTTAATGCAATTTGTTACAACTCGTTTTGAAAATTATTCTATTTTAATTCTTGAAGGTGGGAAATGACCAAAATGCTTCTGAAAAGTGAAAATGTTGACTTTGGTTGACCTTTTGGGCTGTGATGCCTATGACGTATCATTTTAGCATATTCTTGTAGTCCTTGATGGCACGTCTCTCTCCCTCGTTTTCCCAAGCAACCACAAGGTAACATAACCTTTGTTCTTTAGTGAAGTAGTTCACCCAACCACCGCCATTGTACTCTCCCATACCCACAAACCCAACAATAGTTACTGTTCCTCAAGATTCAAACTCAAGACATTGATTCAACTAGCTCTAACACGGAGCAACTTTCCCAATGCCTTTCTTGCCAACTCCAGCCAAGGTAAGGCCTCTAACTATCACCATTAGATTTCTCTCGTCGAGTAGATGAAGCATGATGTATTGCATAAGTGATTTGGTTGGAAACATGCAAATCAACGAGGGAAAAATTTCTCAATTTTCCGTGAGAAAACCGAAGGCCGACGATGTGACGGCCAAAATCACCATGTGTTTGTTGCTACCACTGTGTTAGTATTGATACCTGGAGTCGGAATATGTCATAGGATTAGACATCGAAGCAACAATGGTGGTGCGGCAAGCAGAAACGTGAATCCAGCCAAAATCTCCAATTTTCGGCGAGTTGCAGCGGCACCTTTAATCGGGTCAACCCGATCTGAACCTCTGTCCAAATCCGCCAACCTGACAATTCGAATCTGACAACCCGATCGACTTAACTACCCGTTCCTAACCAATTCGACCCAACCCATTTTCGACTCTAGGTCAAAATATTCTAAGGAAAATTTGAAATAGGTCCAATTTTATAGACTACCTTTTGAAATAGGTCCAATTTTTAGTGACTTTTGATTTTTGAAATAGGTCCAATTTTTAATTATTTTGTACCCATATAAAAAAAAACCCTAATATTCTAAGGTATATTCATTCACAAGCTTTTCTTTAATACAAAAAGAATATTTCGTTTGGTCACAGAATGTTCTTTTTCGATGACGAAATATTCCAATTTCTGCGATCACCTCAACCACCAGCGCGTAGAAACCCAAAACAGCACGTGCCGATGCGTGAAGGCGTGTGCCGCCGCATGCCAACCTCCTATCGGCGCATGGAGCGGTATGGCAACGCATGATAGCTTATGATGGTGTATGGCGGTAGAGGTATGTTTTCAGACATCGAATTTGGTATTTCAAGCTTTGTATTTCAATACTCTACGAAATATTCAATTACATTGCTAAGTAAAGGTTGTTTTCACTTTGGGAACGTTATCCCGTGGATTACAATGAGTGTACGGCAAGACGACTATGATCATACGGTGTGTGAGTGGGCTTTTACTTCTAAATTATATCATATTATATGTTTTCGAAATTGATTTGATGATGCTTTTATATCATGCTTCACTTTGCTTTTACTTATAAATTATGCAAATGCTTTATGTGTTGACGATGATGTGATTTATGAGCATTGTGAACTTTTCCTTGAAATTTTTTATCATTGTGCTTCATCTCTAGTAATTGAAATACTTGATGCGTTATTATGATTTTGTGACATTTGTGATTTGAGATATTATCATGGCATGATTACTTATGATGTATCCATTCATCATATATGCTTACACAGTGTCTATAGTACTGTTCGGGGTTAGAACCATCTTTACATGTATGTTTATATGCACTATTATGTTCACATTGGATCCACTTTAGGTGCCAGTTTGTACTAGTTTGCATTAGGCAATTTGGACTCGTATGGGATGTGCTTATCGCCACCTTCATGTCTATGTAGTACTAGAATGTAAACTTTATACACCCAATATATTTCATGTCAGAATATCTATGAATAAGCACATATGTCTGCATTATCTCATGAGCATATCATATTTGTTTTATTGATGACTTGTGATATACCTCATCAGTGTAAGGATTATTCTTAGCAATCATGTAATTAACATCTTCGTATGTGTTACAATTGTTTACTTTCATTGTAGATATTTAGATTCTCTAATATCAAATTGGTATCTCTGGTTTCCATTACATGGTCTCGAATTTGGCTACCTCATCCTAAAATGTTATTTCCATACAAGAGAAGATAGTGACCAAAATCAACTTAAACACAATTAATTTTAAAATAGTTTTTAGTGATTTATGGAGAGGTGTTTCTTCTCATAAGTGATTTTGGGGCCTTTAACTCTCCCATATTTACCTAGAAAGCTCTTTTCATTTCACTAGGGTAACCAAAGTCAGTTTTATTTTATTTTCTTTTATATGCAACTACAATCTACTTTAGGGGGATATGGTTTAATTCATAAAATAAATAAATAAAATAAAATATAAAAAAAACTAGTCATAATAGTTAGGTAGCAAACTCTCAATTTTTGTGAGTTGAACTTGAGAAATTTCACTTAAAAGTAGGGATGTGAATGATAGACGATGGGCCAGTTTACCCCAAAATTACGACCAAACAAATTACAATGTGACTATTTAGTTCGGTAGGTTTGGGCCTAAACATAATCATTTTTTCTTTTGCATTTTTCGACTATGTTAGCACGATCACAATGAAAAAAACAATTTTAGGATGGCTTCATTTCCTAGTACATCAAACCATTCTAAAATTCAACATGTCATCAAACTTCAAAGAAAAATTAAGATATTTACAACTAAAAGGACTCCAATGTTCAATCAATATCAAATTCAACATCTTTATAGTAACTAGCTAATAAGAGGACTGCCCATGTAAATACATAATACGTTGTTGTTAATTGATGGTGGAAAAATGTTTGTGGTCGGAAAAAAAAATTGGAAAGGGAAGAAGAAGATGCATAGGCATTTGCCTTTTTTTTTTTTTTTTTTGTTTTTTTAATGTTTAATTTGATTATTTATTTATTTATAATGGCTTTTATTTTTTAACACCCTTTCAACCCATTGGCACTGAAAGATCATACGTGCTGAAGTTTCAGGGTGCATTCTGCATATGGGGCACAAGGGATTGGGGCTTCGCTTCCTACGAAATAAGCAGTCCAGGGTGTGGACTGGGGAGTGCACCTGAGATCAATCGCCATAAAAAGAGCTTGATTTTAGGTAATGTTCCAGCCCCAAATCGTATGCCATATGTCTGGATTAAGATTGGGAGACGAGCATGGCTTGTTGGAGCTAGCCTTGGACAAAGCTTTGCGAGGGGCCCAATGATACCCGGTTTTGACAGAGAACTCACTAGATTTGTGAACGGCCATGTCAATCTATCAGGGATGTCTCGATGTCCAAAAGGATATTCTAAATTATACTAATTTACGGTTTGACAGAGAATTCACTAGATTGACATATTGTTGTGGCTAACTTGTCCACTCCATCATGTTTTTTCACTTAAATAATCCGTATTTGCTCATTAGTGATTTGTGGGCAAAATTCCAACCCTTCTACTTTCTAATAAATTTAAGGATAAAATATACAAAACTACTTTAATTATGCGTCGAACTACAATTTTATATTTTATATTTTATAGTATAAATATTGCAATATCATACCTCAACTTATAAATTTATTGCAATGTCATAATTTCATTAACTTTTCTATAATTTGTCGTTAAATAATGACATAATAAAAGTGGGCCCACTCCTTCCCTTAACTAGAATAAAAAAACAATTAATTAATAATAAATTATTACCTTTATTTAACAATTAAATAAAAGAACTCTCTTCCTCACTATCTCTCTCGCCTCTCACTTGTCTTCCTCACTCTCTCCGTTCTCGCTTACAAAAATGGCAGCCATGGCCGAACACCACCTAGCTTTGTTTCTCACTTGCAGAACGCATCCAACAAGATCAGCACTTGGAACTCCACCTCCGATGACTGTTGCACCCTGACTCGAGGTGAACCGTTTTTTCGGTTCAATTTCAGGTCTGATCTGCCGAATCTGCAACACCAACTGGAGTTTGCAGATCTGAGCATGCAGAAGGTACACCAAACAACCCGACCCAGCCCGAATCTAAGGTATTTCCTGCAAAACCAACTGAAGTTTGCTGAGGTTCCCTCCTCGCCATCAACTGCGTTTTCGAA